CTTAAAACGAAGCCTTTTTTTCACTACTGACATTGGAATTTAATTAATAATTAACGCGACGATAGCGTATATAAGTAATGGAATTACGAAAATTTATTTCAAAATGTTTATGTGTAATTAGAAGTAACTTTTTTTGTAGCACATTGTTGGAAGATAAGAGCGAGTCGTGAAATAAATCGCATAGCTAATTTAAAATAAATACTTACGTTGTGTCGTTGTAATGTTGCGCGCGCGACTCCGAGACTTGCGCTACGGTATGGACACTCCGATTGATACTGAACTTATTACAACCTACTGTTAAGAAGTTGTTATATTTCCGCGCCCCGCTGCATACAAAATGATTCACGGCAGCCTCCGAACATCATTAGTGTGTCCTTGATAACTTTGTGTACAGGTGCTACTTACGATCATCGGAGTTGTGTTGAGACATTGTCCGTTTGAGGCGCCGATAACAATTCGACTATGAGCCGACTGCGCAAAGGTTTACAATGAAACATTTTAACGGTTTAAAACGCGAAATATATTAAGAAGATTTTCATTGGAATCTTTTTTTAAACGCTTTCCTTGCCCTGTGATCACGGGAAAAAACATCTGTAACGTCGGGCCATTTCGTGTTTTAAACCGTTAAAGTGATTTATTTGAATGTATCTTGTATAAACTACAAATAGTGTTTATTTTCTCTTTGAAGGGTGACAGTCTTCGGCGACACAATGTACAGATCTACAAACTATTAGTTTTTCATATATTGCTTAAAGATCTAGATTAAGATCATGCCAAAGAACAATGTTAACTTTTATTATTTTATATATTATTCAACCAAGAGCGACGGGCCGTTGGTGTAATGGTAGCAATGTAGGGATAATAACCAACGGGTCGTAGGGTTCGATCCCCACTGGATGCAACATTAAATCAATTTTGAATTTTTCTGTACTTGTTAGACATCGTCTGAAAATCTGGATATTAATAGGCCGGAATACCGAAATTATCGGTTTAACTCATTGGATATCCGGAAGCCATAATAGGTAGGCGCATCTTGTTTAGATGTTATATGCCCATGCTCGTTATTCACTAACGTAACGAACGTAAATGCTCCGATTAAAATTTCTTTAGTTTGACATTTACATAAGGATGGGATGTGAGCAAAGTCAACGACAATAGAAGGTAACAGTCCGATTCATGCACGATAGCTGAAATGCGTTACAACCGTCGAGTTAAATAAAGACATACAAAATTTCAAAAATATGTCTTCATTAAAGTGATTTTAAACTTTTTGTCAATAGATATATGTAATAGATTCTTTGACCCTATGTCAACTGTGGCAATGACTACGCTCTATAAAAAGGGCACTAGTTCTCTATGGTTTGAAGTCGGCCATATTTGTTGTGGTCTTTCCAAGTCAGAAACAATACACTATAAGTGGAACATTGCAGGCTATCGTAGGTTCGGATCCAATTCATAGACAGCTAAAAGGAAAATCCTCTTAGCTTATTCTTATTTCTTTGTCGAAGGTCAGTAGTTGATTGAACTTAAACTGTAGTATGTTTTTCCTAGGTTTCAAATTCTGCTCTGCTTGACAAAGAGTACGTTTTGATCGTTCGAGGTGACTATTGTTTGTAATTTAAGGAAAACTTTTTATCACGATACGTCGATGTTTCATTCTTAATTTGCTCTCAGCCACGGTTTTGCTGCTGTGATAATAATATGTAGAGATGCGAGACAATATTAAGAATCTACTGGCTGTAGTTTACGCGAGTGGTACACTTAAAAAAAATACTTTAACGATTTAAAACGCGATTTATAATCGTTAAACATATTTGGAAATTATCTTAACTACGGCCGGAATAAGCATCCGAAACGTCGGGCGGTAGTTAAAATAATTTCCAAATAATTTAAAAAAAGTTAAGTTAAAATAATTACGATTTTTTGGATTACAAAGAAGTCTGATTCCAGTGGGAATCAGACTTCTTTGTCATTCTCCCGAAACCAAACCCCAGTGCCCAGAACTTACTCTACATTTTAACTATAGACCGCTTCTCTAGCTAAATGGGTTTACCCAAGGTGTTTACTAGTATTGCGTTAAACGCAAGAAATCCTGGATTCGAATCAATCCTATAAACAATAGATTGTATCGGTCGAGCATGGCACAGAAATCTGATCAACCACTTGCCTGTAAGAGAACCGGACCAAAAGATGTGTTCGCCCCGTGCCCCACTGGGGGAATTCACTTAGCACTTATGGCTTGTACTAACTGTTCGGTGGTGTCTGCGGTTTGATGGATGGTGCCCCACGCGGATTCCAGTTGCGTTGGTTTCGACCGCGTGCGTGTGTCAAGAACTGGGGGGATGTGTCGGAGCCTAACACTGTAGTACTGCTTAAGATAGATTAGATGCTTTTTTTTTATCAAAAATTCTTTATTTTTCCATACATCGTGCAAAATCGAATGTCCCTAGTCTCCACACTGTCTGTCGTGGGTCACTAGTCTCTTCCAAGTTACAATAAATGAAAATATCTAAGCTAACTTATATCTACTTATTAGTGTCTATTTAAGTGGATTTTTGCATGTTACGTGTGTTAGTGTATGTGTGAAGAGAGCCAGTGTGTTAGATGTTAGGTTACACTTACATCTGCTTAGTATAAACCAGTTGCAATTTTGTAACCAAAAAGTTGAATCTTTATAATATCACATCTGCATATTAGAACAGCGTCCAGTCGTTCTTGCAAGTTAATATTAAAAGATAGACATATAGTGTGGCGAATTTTTTTAGGTCATTTAAAGAGGAATCAATCTCTCTTACATATTTCTCGCGTATCTTGTTCCGTTTTCGCAGCGCACGCAAGGGAATCTCTGAAAGATTAATATTTTTTCCGTCTGTTTCAAATTTCCATTGTTTCCTCACGCTGATTAGGTGCAGTTTGATGTTTAATAGCTTAAGTCTCTCGATAAAAGCTCTAACCAACAAGAGGTTTTCAATTCGAACCAAGTAGTTCCTAAGATTAGCGCGTTCGAACGAACAAACAAACTCTTCAGTTGTATAATGTTATTATAGATTGAATTGTGAACATTTTAAATTTGGTCTCCTATTGTAATATAAGTAAAATAATGTTGGATATGTAATAAATTGTTGTAATCTTTGCCATAATTTGAAGTTAACATTTTTACGTATTTAAAAATCTTATTAATAATAATGCAAACCAGTAAAGAAGCCGTCGAGCGCTCTTTAAAATTAAAAAAAAACTAACTTAAATATTATATCCATGCAACTTATTGGACTCACAACTTTCTGTTCTTCCATTATATATTTTTATAGCTATAAGTTTCTTTGAATCTAAGAATAAATATAGCTCCTAACACTTATGTACCCGACGCGGTTCGTATTGGGGATAATCGGATAGAATAAGAAAAGGTACCAGTAGTTGACTTTTTATATTGCAAATGTTCGTAGAGCAATCCGGCGCTTTTTCTAGGTCTTAAGTCCTGTTACGTTACTTTACGGTGCCAAATCGGACATACTATGCCCCACTCATCCCAATGCTAAGTATACAGGATTTCGTGGCTAAACAAATATCTTATGTTCTTAGGTTCACAGGCATGGTATAAGTAGCATCGTAATTTGTTATAAATTATACATTTTGTTACAAATAGTAATTATTTATATGTAATGGTTTTTGTATTTATTTGATAGTAATTTACTTTTCACTAAACTCACAATTAGTTTTTCAATTATTCAGACATATTGTCATTGAGATATATCATTATTATTGGATCCTATGATTGCAGACGAGTAATAAGTAAATTCACCAAAGAATTGTATGTGGCAAAACTATGATTAGGGCAGAATGTGTTCAATAAAGCCAAGACCGCCATACAAAAGGCGCTCTTTCTAACTATATTTACTAAGTATTATTAACCCATAGAAAAAGACCAAGTTTATCTCCGCGATGAACAGGTTACACTGTAATGCAATATGACATATAAAGCGGTGTATGAAAGAAAAAATAAACTCGCAAAAACCGAGTTTATCTTAATCGAATTTGGTCGATGTTAATGTATTATTACTAATTATAGTTGTTCAACATAGTAATCTATACTAATTTATAAATCTATAGAGTCTGTTTGAACTCCCAGGAACTAATGGTTCGAAATGAAAAGTTCTCTGTGTTGGGCAGAGCACTTATAAAAGAAGGTTATGGGCTATAAAACATTGCGCTGTGACTAATAGGAGCGAAGAAACAACGGGAAATGTGGAAAAAACGGGGAAATTATTCCTCTGTACGGGCTTCCGATGCGAAACCGGTTGAAATACCCAAAAGATATGTACCAATGTTTCTTCTTTAAATGATATCAAAAAAAAAAAAGGTCAGCGACACCATATGTCTATGTTTTAAAATAACGTTGCAAAAACGACGGGACGCGTCCGACGTCACTACCCCATCTAGTAATCATAATAATAGTTCAGCTAAGATGTAAATAAAACATTCCCATATATACATAACACTTTATTTTATTAAATTATTCTCTTAACTATAGTTTCGTAACTCATGAATTAGAATACAATAATTATTGTAACCTTATCTACATAATTGCAATAAATATAATCTGATTTTGATACAGCATGCAATCTTAGAACGGTTGGGTTCTCATCAAATAATCATGTTTTATTCGCTTATATACCAGATCATGACATTTTTTAACTAAGTTGGAGGTCGAAGTAATTTCGAAACTGTCATAAAGAATATCGTAAGTAAAATTTAAAATATGACGTCACAATAGCGTCAAAACGGGGGCCAGAAATTCCACTAAACATGTAAAATTATTCCCGTCATAATATACGCGTCAATAAGAACGTATACGAGATGTTTCTGACATAAAATAAGCAACATGGCAGAACAATCATTGTTTAATACTATATAATCTTATATCTCATAATTAAACAGCACTTTAGGAAATGCACAATACATTTATGTATATTTAAAACGGTAAAAAAAAATTAAAACTACTACTACTCCTCTATGTCCGCGAGTAAATCTGAGTCGTCTATTATTTCCTGAAAAACAAGGGTACCGTTATAGAGAAAGTATATTTTAATAACTTGTGCGTAGTTTGGTCCTCAAAAACAGCACATTGATAAACGAGAATACACCGCGAATCAATTATGCAAGGACCCAGCCAGTTGAACTAAGAGGAAGCAGATGGCGCTAGCGTCACTCCTTTACATAAATGACTTTGACATTAATGACGCCAACCATTTTTAGTCTAGCCTTGACTGCTGTAAGGCGTCCAAAGCGTGTGTCATAATTTAAAATTGCCTTATATATTAGCGGTTTTAAACCATTATTTAGGATATACTCAAAAACCAACACACCTTTTGAGAACTAAAACATTTTACGTTTATATTAATTCTTAATAAGATCTGTCTCTGCAGTGTACGCGAGTAGTACACATTTAAATGACACACTTTGACGGTTTAAAACGCGATGTATATTAGTTAAGCTTATTTACTTAGAAACGTCGGACCGTAGTTAAAATAAGTTTATTTAATATGTATCGCGTATTAAACCGTTAAAGTCTTTTATTTAAAAGATCTATCTCACCGTGTAATCCAGATTTCTATCGGTATTTAAATCTTCTAGTTCCCGCTCTAGTTCTTCGAGGTCTAAGTTATCGTTGAGGGACTCGTTAGACTTGGCATCGCGCGCAGGCGCTGTACTTGGGGGTAGTCCGTCAGCACTCGGTTGTGGGTTGCTGGAAACAAAAATGTTTGTTTTTATTCTATTCACATGTCAATCCAGTGGCGACAGAAAAATACACTTATAAAAGCGTTTCTAACATACATATTTAATACTTTAAAACAAGCTTCGATACAATACATGTTACTAGATCCTTACATTTCAACAAGTCTCGCTCTAGCACAACTTACACGATGTATAGTGTATTTTTTCTAACTTGACAAAAGACCACAACAAATATGGCCGATTTCAAATCATAGAGAACTAGTGATGACCTTTTATAGAGTTAAGTTGTTGCCACAGATGACACGGAGATAGAGAAATATCCATTATATTATTATTAATAATTATTATTTATTTATCAGACCTAATAAATCTTACCTAATCCAATGTCATCTAATGAGTGTTAGATGGCTTAGTAACTATAATATATATATATTATAACGATCAAACGATCTTAAAATTCAAAAGCAATTTTATGACGCACTTTTCTGTTAAATTTTTATGTCATTATTATTTAACTCGACGCTTGTACTGCTCTTCAGCGATCGTGCTTGAATGGGACTTCTACCTTTTACTGCCATTGACTTTGCTGACTTTGAAAGAAATTTAAATCTGTCTATATAAGTAAATATATACTTTTAGGTTTATTATTAATTTAGCAGGAAAATGTGATTAAACTACACTTTTAACAATTTGAGGTAGTTTATTATCTCAATATATAATCCAGTGCTTCAGTGTTTTTAGTGTACCAAGAATGCCAAGTTAAAAAAAAAACATTATACATATAAAAGGGACAGTGTAACGTCTTACATTGGTTTCTGTTGTACGGTAGAAGGCACGGGGCAGGATATGTTCGAGAGTAAATCTGACTTGTCCATTATTTCCTGAAAAACAAGGGTTCTGTTGTAGAGAAAGTATATTATAATAACAAGTCTTGCGTCTTTGGTCCTATCCGATCGTCGGAATTTTTATTGACTCGATCTCCTCTATCTACCGTGTTCTTTCTGATCCCAAAACTCCCTCTTATTTAAAAGAGATATTCGTCCTTTTAAGTTCCCACCAGTTAAATCTTTATTCCATCGATAATCTCCTTTTATTTGTTCCCTAACATAAAAGCTCTTTTTCAATAATTGCGTCACAGTTAAAGCTATCCGTCTTTGGAACTTTCTTCCCACTAATGTCAGAAAAGCTCAATCACTCCGTTCTTTTAATAGTTTCCTCTATAAGTTTTACGTTTCCAATATTTAAATTAGTTTCACTCCTACTCGTTGTGTGTACTTTTAGTATGTACCTTTTCTTTTCTTTATTATTCCTTCCACATTACCTTAGGTTGCCTGGAAGAGATCGCTCCTTAGCGATAAGGCCGTCTTTTATTAATTATAAGTTTGTACGTAAGATTTTTCCTAATTTACATGTATTTTCTGCGGTGTGTTTTATAAATAATAAATCTATAATGATGTAGCAGTTAGTTTAATAAGTTAAGTTAATAAGATCTACCTCTGTAGTGTACGCGAGTAGTACACATTTAAATGAAACACTTTGACGGTTTAAAACGCATTATATATTAGTTAAGCTTATTTACTTAGAAACGTCGAACCGTAGTTAAAATAAGTTTATTTAATATGTATCGCGTATTAAACCGTTAAAGTGTTTTATTTAAAAGATCTATCTCACCGTGTAATTCAGATTTCTATCAGTATTTAAATCTTCTAGTTCCCGCTCTAGTTCTTCGAGGTCTAAGGTATCGTTGAGGTTATTAGACTTGGCATCGCGCGCAGGCGCTGTACTTGGGGGTGGTCCGTCAGCACTCGGTTGTGGGTTGCTGGAAACAAAAACGTGTGTTTTTTTCTATTCACATTTCAATCCAGTGGCGACTGCTATTGAAATCGAATATATTGTACCGCTTATAATATGTATAATGTTGACAGAAAAATACATAACAACACAAAATAATACTAATTGTGACGGTGTGCGTTTGTGACGCTCTTCAGCGAACGTGCTTGAATGGGACTACTGTCATTGACTTTGCTGACATCCCATTCCAATGTTAATGTCAAACTAAAGAAATTTTAATCTGTCCATATAGGTCATTTCATTTTTTATTTCTATTAAGTTTAGCATGAAATTGTGATTTTACTAAGTGAATTTGAGGTTTATTTGTTTAATACATAACCCAGTGTCTCAAAGTGTTTTAGTGCCAAAAATGTCAAGTTAAAAAAAATACACTATACATATAAAAGGGACAGTGTAACGTCTTACATTTGTTTCTGTTGTACGGTAGAAGACACGGAGTAGGGTATTTGTGCCATTTCAGCTGCAAGGTCTCTCTCGACATTACTCGTAGAGACGTTTTCTGGCAAATTGACGAGATTATTGCTATGCGCGTAACCAATCTCGTTCTGATACCTCTCCAGCTGAAGGGATTCCTGTTGTATTAAACAAGTAAATATTGTAATCAGAGTAATTTAAATAATCAATTATTTCTTCTTTCGGCCGATGTGAGCGAAAAGAGGTTCTCGACGTTTCGCCATCACGTGTGGACGGCATCATCGGGAGATGTTGACTCCTCGATTGTTCGAATAATTACGTCCGTCTACACGTGATGGCGAAACGTCGAGAACCTCTTTTCGCTCACATCGGCCGAACAGCCCGAAAGACAATGATATGCTCCAATTTATGTTTTCAAATATGAAGACGGTACACATTTAAAAAAGTATACGAAATATGAGTATATTGACAAATAAAGACACGGGCGATTTTCGCAAAATAGCTTCGTAAATAGGTTTTTAATTTGTATAATGTAATAGTGTGTGATATTATATTAAAGTTACCAAACGAGAAATCTTGTAAAATTAATCCACACATGTAAAAAAATAGATCTGTGTATAATATCAAAAATTGAGTATGAAAACTTACCGAATATTCTGGAAATAGATTTTCATAGGAATTCGGATCCGCTATCGACTGACGCGACTTCTTGTTCGAGCTTTTGCCCGTTTCTCGCCAGAGCGCCACTACTTCGTTAACTCTTGATGGAATGTATGATCTAAAGCACAAAATATAGCATGGGAGAAAGATATAGCGACTTCACTTAAATTCTTCGTACTTTATATGATCGTCAACATATAACATCTAAACAAGATACGCCGTGAACCCTTCTTTTATAAGAAGACAGGCAAAAGTGGGGTTCCCTAGAGAGTAAGTGAAACACCCCAGCCATTCACCACCTAACCAAGATAAGCTGCCGATCTATTTTAGTTTTGGATATTCGGAAATCTAAAAACTAAAACCCTGATTAAACTACACGGCTTTCCTAAATTTCTATATTCCTACCACTCATTTAATATTCAGATTTCCAAACTGTGTCCCAACAGAAAAGAAAAATTATAAATTGTTTTAAAAATTTTGGATGAGGGAGGGAAATATTAGCCCACGCTTTAGTGCAATAGTAGCAGTAAGAATAACAGATGAGTCAGTAGGCGCATCATAAAGTAGTATAGGTATTTCCACAAATGAAATTAACATGACATATAAGTTGATATGAAATGAAGTACCTGGCAAAGAATGCGGCTTCTGGTAGTTTATTTCTCTTTATGAGCAATTCGAGACACTTGTCTAGTTTATTTAACATAAATTGTGTGACAAACGCGACGTTATCTTCACCCTCTTCAACTGAAGTGTTTGCTACACTTTCTAACAGCTCTCTGTCACCTGAAAAAGGCATTAGGAAGGTTAATATTGGTTTAAAACGCGATATATATTACTTAAAATTTATTTGAAAATTATTTTAACTTCAGCCCAACGTTTCGGATGCTTTGCAGCAGCCGTGGTTGCGGGGAGTCTAAAGATGGAGGTTGTATGTGACATCAAAGTCAAAACTGCTACGCTAACGCCATTTGTTCCGCCGTAAGTAAGTAATATAACTAATATATATATAGCGTTTTTAAGTCTCTATTTCAATGTGTACTACTCGCATGAACTTTTGTTTCTTTTATATGTACGTATAACGGAACGATTTGTCATCGACTCGCTATCGATTGACATTTAAGATCACTGACACTTATTAAAACTACGCCTTGACCTATTTTGGCTTTGGATTTTCAGAAATCCAGACTGAAATCGATGATTTAACTTGATATACCTCAAATTCTACGTGTCCTATGTACATACAGTATTTTTTTTCTCTGTCCTTACCTGTGCTAGTAGCGAAAAGGAGTAGTGCACTAGGATCTTTAGCATTTTGGTAGCATAGTTTAGTCAGTTCAGTGTCAGCTGCTGCTGCGGCTGCTGCACCCAACCGGGACCATCTGTAATTAGATTGTTTTAATAACATTGAAAAGCTGCAATAAATTTTCTAATTTTTGCAGCAGAGCTCACAAAATGTGTTAAGTGTACAGTTATTATATTATTATTTTTTAATTCTAGACAGTGCAATGCGAACCTTTGTAGGAAAAATAATTTGACCAATAATTAGGTTTTAAAACATTTTCTTCATTTTAAATAATAAAAGTACATATTTCGTTTTGTAAGTATTACGAAATATTAAGTAAAATGTACTCTCGACACGACATGGAATCGCCAAAGAAGTTGGATCAACTTGCCTGTCTGATCAACAACCGATCTGTGTCAGACCCTGAAATGTCTTTAAGCTAAACCCCACAATGGGAAAAGAGATTTAACATGAAGAAAAACGTCATTGAAATAGAGGTGGTAGCAAAACCATCCAATCGGTAGCAATGTAGAATTTGCCTGTTAAATAAAATCACTAAAATATGGATTTTACTGAAGAATTTCAGTAAGCTGTAGCTCTTACCTCGTGGACGACGTAGCTGATGGCGCACCTTCCGCAATAGTAGCCTCTTCGGCAAGTTGTTTTGCTTTTTGGAGTTCTCCGAGTGACAGAGCTAGCTCAAACTTATGGTCTGGTTCAGTTGACACAGCGAGCGCTTGTTGTTTGAAACCCTAAATAGAAATACCATTTATATTTAAACTTTGTAGCGTGATAAACTTTTCCTAAAATTTAGGAACAACAGGTGAAAACACAATATATATTTCTAGAGTTTCGTTGCATTCGTCGAATTCATGGTTCTCAGACCTTTGTTTTCCTCCACTGGCATAGTGAATAGAAAAAACAAAAATATAATAATGTCGTAAAGACCAGGAATATATTCCCTGACTTCACGGACAAGTCAAGTGCATTTGGTTTGAATAGGCTACTTGACAATGCGAGTAATATATGTAGTATCAATTACTGTTATCAGTATTAAGTATAAGTTTAGACATAATAAAACAGTCACAAAGGTTGAGAATTATAACAGATTTCATTAAAAATCCGCACATACCATATTTTATTTTTAACATTTTCTCGTGACTTAGGACGTTCTTTATTGTCAGGTATATGACGATGTCACTTGCTTAGAAACAGTGCTATAAACCACCGTGTTTCCTAGTGTTAAAACTGTTATATTCTCTGCATTAATAAAAAAATAATTTGAAACTCATTTAATTACTTCAATCACTGTTGAAATGTAAATGTTTAGTACAAACGCATGTAGATTGTAGATCATATGATCAACTTCACTAATGGCCAATATAAGACCATGACGTCACTAGCCGTATTGCTAGTGTTATTTCGCAAAGTTAGCGTATGGGCGCGCAATTTAATATTGCATTTTTAATCGGCAAATATGCATCAGAATTCAAACATACTACTTTTCTGGGGTTCCTCGACATCAACATCGTAAGGTGGATATGTCAAATAGCCCATTCGATCTTTAATAAGTTTTATTTCACCCATTACCTGCTTCTCCAGGAAATGCGCAACCCTGGTGCGATGGTCGTGTGGAATGGTGGGCAGAATGCGATCTGCGGTCATAAAGTCTCCTCGCATAACGGCCGTCTGATAGTTCAGCACCGGCAGAAGCAGTGAATACGAAACGATGTTCAACTCCTTATCGTTTAAGTACAATCTGTTGATGAAGATGAAGTTTACTTTTTCCATGTGAACATACCTCAGAACAGTTATCAAATCTTACGATATCTATTACATACAAGGCGAGTCATTAAGTTTTTAGGCGTACCGTTTTCATTTTGACCCCAAGACAATAAATTCATTTTCAATTTACTTAATAAGTTAATTAATGTACTTGGACTTCAAAAAGTGTTTTATTTGATAATGGCGTAATCTAAAGACAATACTGAATGTTCCCGTATAAAGAAAACACGGTGTAGTTTACAAAATCACTCGCGCACACAATGACTTTTAAGTACAAGACTCCCGTCAGCCTCACCTATTCTCCTTAGCTACGTATCCAAGAATATACATAGTGTGGTCAAGATGGGATATTGTTACAATCTCTCCGCCAACATAGTAGTTGATTCTATTCAGTGAGTTTGTGTATATGAAGCAGTCCCCCACCCAAATACCAGTTTTCACTACTTCGTTCACTTCGCCCACTACCTGAAAAATAAAAGATAACAATTGCTCATGTGTCTAGTGTATAGTGAATCAGTTTTTTTAATCAAAATTTTATGAAAACATTATAATTTAAAATAATTCATTTAAATTGTACAGACTAAAAAATTTATATTATGTAGTAATTATAATTGTTATCATAAATAATGACTATGATATATGATTACATTTATACTTGAACTAGCTGAGTCAGCGACTTCGTAGAATAGTAATTTTGACTATATTTTTTTTTTGTTTTTCAAACCCCTTCAACTCTATAAATAAAAGCTATTACCCACGACGTCTGCGTCCCGTCGTTCTTGCAAGTGAATCTTAGAAGATAGACATATAGTGTCGTGGACATTTTTTTAGATCATTTAAAGAGGAATCATTGTTTTATACATATTTTTTGAATATCTTGAACTGTTTTCGCAACGTACGCAATGGAAGGCCACAAGGATTAACAATTTTCCCCGTTTTTTTCGACATTTCCCGCGGTTGCCTCGCTGGCATTAGTCACGGCGGTATGCCTCGTAAAAGCTCGAACCGAAACATTTAAAAAAATGATTCGAACCTGAGTAATCTCATACGCGCGTTCATACACACAACAGTGGGAGTTGGATTGGTTGAAGGACCCAACGTCGTCAGTAAGGCGAAATGGGTAAAATGGTTAGGAAATAATGCGGACTGATCACCAGGTCATTTATCAGTAGAAATATCTCCAATAGAAAATAATGATAATTATAATATGTATAACTGGATAAGAAATATAAAGAATACAGTATTTTTGTACTAATTTACCAATTTGCAATTATCACAACTAGGTAGAATTTATGAAAATACACAATATACATCCATAGATCAGAACTAATGTGCAATATTATAGGGCATTTGTTGTTGGCAAAAAACCATAACACATATATACGATTTCAAATCATAGAGAACTGATTGAGAGAGTGATGATTGATTTTATATGCTCCAAATTACCTTAATATTCGGAATCACGTTTATAACAATCTTTTTTATTATTTTTTTGTCATTTTTCTACCTTCTATTGTCGTTGACTTTGCTTACGCTTACATCCCGTCTCTATGTAAGTGACAAACGAAATAAATGTTGATCTGTCAATTTATTTATTCAATATAATAATCATAAGGATTTTTATTAATTTAAATGAATTTGTAAATTGTCTACGTGAGTTTGAATTAGATTCATTTACTAAAAATGACAAGTTAGAAAAAATACACTATAGATAATTCCCTTCTTTTTTTGTGTATCTAATAAACTTACAACAAACGCATCTTCAATGCCGTCTTCGGTTATGTTGGTGTTGGTCTGACGGGCAAGATTCACGACATTGGGATGGTAACTCAGGAGATAGTAAGACTCGTCGGTTGCCAGGCACACAATGTTCCCATTCTCTGACCAATATACATTCCGGGGCTGAATCTCTATCCTGATGACAAATGTATGAAGCTTGTAAACATATGCATTTTGGAGTTTAAAACGCGATTCTTTCTGAAATACATTATAACGGTTGGGTGTCATAATTTAAAAGGTTTTCGCCAGCCTATACATACAAAGATATATAAAATGTACATACATTCTTATTCATATAAGCTATACAAAATCTTTAGTTGTTCATGGAATGCTAGTTGACAAATCAAAAGAATATGATAAGCAATAATGAAAAATTCGCAACACATTTGTTGAGTAGCTTAGTTTTTATAAAATCATCGGGTCGTGGGTACAATTACCAATTTATAACTTTTCTGAGTCGTGTTTGGCTTTGGTCTGGTAATCTGGATATTAACCAGGTGACAAACCATCGTCCACAGATAAAATAGCCGTGGAGGTTTGGATATTTTGAAATCCACAGATATTTCCTAATATTTACAGCCAAAATAGGTTTACAGAGCACCTTAATGTTATATGGCTGTGTAATTATTAGTGAACCTTTGTTTTGCCCATCTTCTATCAATAAAAAATGCTAAACAATACAACTACGCACGCACACAATTACAGTTCCTATTTTTAATTTACTGCACTCTGATGGATTTGGATGCAAACCAGCCTTATAAATAAAGTTCGGAATAAACACAAACAAAATATTGGTGTTGATTATTCATTTAAAGTTGCAAAAGTTCGCTATAGTCGGTACGCCGAAGCTGAGCTCAATAGCTTAAGATGGATGTTATTTTTCAAGCTTAGACATAAACAAGATACAACCTGACAGTTACATGGTATTCACATCGCTCGGGTCTCTTTCTAGATATCATTATTAGAAGGCTGTGTTTAAAAACTTAGCAAAAATGTATAAATACGTATTTTTATATGAATCTAAAAGTGATAGACATCTCTTGAACAAACAAAGGTTCAATCCAAGTACACATGAGGCTTGTTATTTTAACATGATGTAAATAGAAATAATGCGCGCAGAGCAAACAAAAAAATTAAGAAAAACCTTAAACAACGAAATCTATTTCTTAACAAAAGCATACAAACTCAGATATAATTATAGTAATATTATCGAACAAGAGCTATACCTTCTAATTAATTCCAAGCGTTCCCAGTCATAGAACGAGAAAGCCATGCCACTTATTGACTTTACACCAAGCATGTAACCGCCGAAGATACCTGAAAATTAATATTCACATTTTGAGAAAGACTTTAAGACCGAAGGTGTCTATTTTCAATTATACCACAAAACAATTGAGTAATAATCTTAATTACATTAGCAGTAACGTCTAATTCATATAAAAGTGTTTTCAACAATTCTATGGTGAACTATTGGCCTAATATAGGCATTATAAGAGACAATTGGGGTTCTCTCTAACAAAGATAAAAGATATACACATTAAGTGCGTAAGGATGGTAACAAAACCTAGACGATAAAAGAACTGGCGGCGAGTTTTTGCCAGTTCTGCTCGTTCGTCTACACTCTTTATTTGGGAAATTGTAATGTAAGTTTAAATGTATTGACGTTTGATTTTAATTGTTTGATTTGATTTTGATTGGTAAAAAGCCAATTGGGGTTGCAAAAATTCTGACCTTGCGCGCCATAGTCTGGCTTGAAACTCTGTCTCTCCTTAAAGTTTCTAAAGACTCGGACTGTGCTTGAATTCTCCAATGTTGCATATTCAGAACTGTCTTGTGCCCACACGAACTCTTGCGCCGAACCGAAAGCCTTGTTGCGCAACGCCATTGCGGTGTATATTATGTATTCGCCGTCACCGCAGACAACAACGAAGCGACCGTTCGGGTTGTGGGCGATCGTCTGCGGATAGATCTCGCAAGCCCCGACATCTTTGGCCACCACTGGCACTCGTTCGCCGTCCTTAATCTCGATGCCTGCAAAGACAAGAGGGGAACACTAAAGCTAACTGCTTTAAGTTCATAGTACAGTTTAATTTCTTTTGACCCATTAAAATGATAAAACCTGATAGCAAAAAGAGGAAGACCAGCATAAAAATGGGATGATGATATTGTTAATGCTGTCTGGTCCGAGTGGAAATAATAAGCTAAGAATAGAATTTTCTGGAAGTGCATGGAGGTGGTTTTCGCTCTTTAAAGGATGACATTTAGACAGAAATATAAAATGATTATTACATAATAGATACTTATACTTATTTATTGTTAATTTGTGTGTCGTGGCAAATAAAAGCCTTTTTTTATTTTACTTAGTTAAGTAGTTTTGAAAGTGGATTCCTAAAGTAAGGTATATAAGAATGTAGAGACTACAACTGTTCAAAATGTGATAGGTCTGGGAATCGGTTGTGGCTATATGAAAAGTATATTACCTTCTGGCAATGCCTTCAAATTAACTTGCTGCATTTCAGAGTGCTTGGCCCAAATTATCTTTCCACCGGCCACATCCATTGATATAGCTGGTTCCTCCCTTCCAATTTTGATCATTATCGTACCTTCATCATAGCTGCAAAAAGAAAACATATCATTTGCTTGCAGGAATACTTCAGTTCTGTCTTATAGATAAATATTAATTTGAAGAAGTATTGTTTCCAATATCAAGACTAACATAAACAGATTTACATAACTTTCTGTTATATGTAAAAAATATATACCCAATAGCAACATTATTTGATCCCAGCAGTGAAGATATGGTCCAAACTCTCTCTAAGCCATAGTTGAGTGAGAACTCCAGACGGTATGTACCAGCATGCCAGAGCCTTAATGTGCCATCTTCGGAACCTGTCAGTAGTATCGGGAGCTCAGGATGGAATGAAACAGCAGTCACATTCTGTGTATGGCCTGTGAGACAATTTAGTTTTAATTATTGGATATAACAAGTTTTAAGTTAACTTCACTAAAATGTATGAAGATTCTACAAAGAAACCTCAGCGGAGCGGAAATGGTTAGCAGATGGTTTGTACTGGTCACCTGCCCTTATATCTGTGTCTCCAACAGAAAATAATATTTACTAAAATATATTTAATGATACAGTAAGATACCATTATGTTTTAACTGCTTTATATAATAAAGCATAATGGCAATGGATCACAAGTTGGATTAGTTTAATTCAGACTTTTACACTTAAATATTTTTTTCTTTAGGTCACCATTAATTATATTTGAAGACTTGGTGGTTAAATTAGTAATTAGGAGAAAGTAAATATTATAATTACCTTCCAAAGTTTGCACACAAGTCTTGTTCTGGTAATCCCATATTTTGACGAGACGGTCATCAGCACCACTGATAAGGTATGGTTTGTCACCGCCATGGTAATAATCCACACAGTTCACACCTTTCTCGTGGCCTTCCAAAGTAAAGTTAGATACTGAGGCACCCAACTGCCACACCTAAGACAATTTGAGAATTAATACGAATTGATAAAAAAATTGTGACATTATTGTTGTTGGTGTTCATACATTCTTTGTTGTACAGGATGTTTTGAATATCACTACACGAGCAAAGAATTTGAAAACAACCTTAAACTACTTGTTAACAATACAGACATAGAGGGCCCACTGGCCGAGAAGAAGAATTCAATTTCCACAAAGATTCATTCTGATATATAATGGAGTCAATTTCCTGTCCTTAGACACTGACAATGCATCCCTGAAATACTTGTGAAATAAAAATACTTACCTTTACTGTAGTGTCCAAACTTGCACTGGCAAATGTGTTGTTGTCTTTTGGATTAATTGCAATCTGCATTACATAGTGAGTATGCCCTTCAAACACCTGCTGGCATGCCCAATTGCGGTCCCAATTCCATAGTTTTATTAACAAATCATCTGTGATAAGAGAGATGTGGTTAACATATGTGTTCATAATGCACACATACATTTAAACTTTACCGTATACTTACCACTACTTGTAAGAATGTAAGGCTGTGTCGGATGTACAACAATACATCTTACATAGTCAGAATGAGCTTCAAAAGAGTGGACACATTCCAGAGTGTTATAATTGAAAACTCTAATTTGCATGTCGTCAGATCCCGTAACCACCCAGTTCTTTCTTGGGACAAATTTGGCCGATCTTACGGGTAGTTGGTCGCATACCTTAAACCGAAGATATATTAACCACACATTTCTTTTTTCTGTACATATAAGTAGGAAATCGTCTCAATGCCTCTCAGTGTAAAATAAAATAAGCAAAAAGTCTTACAAGGCTTAAATAATTTGAATATTTTATAATTGTGAACTGTTAGCTATTATAACTGTTAGGGTCAACTAGAATCATCTAACGGTCCAACTATCACAATTGATCTATGACAGAAAATGTTTGTATAGCATCCTACAAGTACAGAATCACGGGTACACAGAGTATTAAAACTGCAAAGATGTCCTCATTCCATGTCAGAAACAATTAATCGTATTGTAAAAATTTTGGAAAAAATAAGCATAGAAATGCAATTAGTTATACAGAAATAATATATAACACACACATGATATGCACACGTAAAAATAAATATATTATGTTCTGTACCTCAAACCTCTTGATCTGCGTGTGAGTTTCATAATTCCAAATGTTGACATCGCCGTCATATATAGCGCAAAGGAGCCATGGTTCTGTAGGATGCTGATCCACGCATTTTACGCGATCAGACCTCGCAGTCAACTTCCGCTTTATATCTAGTTTCAGGGGCTGTACAATCATAACGAAAATTATTAACAATCCTTTATCTCTCACACTATAACTGAATACTACTATGTTGAAATAGTCTCGAGAGAAGCCGACATATATGATGACATAGTACCAACAAATCAGTAACTACGTGGCTCATTTGTCGTGGAAAGTTGGGATTAAAGAGAACCGCTGCGTTTCAAACGATAGCACAAATTAAAAACAATATCTCACCATAATTAGCAGTTAACACATTAACAAAATTCTCAAATCCGTTGTTCTGAGTTCGGAGTTACAACGATGTAAGTTTGACAGGATGGGTGGACGTGTCACTTTTTTTTTTTATAAAACAACACATCGAATACATGTTTCTGATACTTGGCAATTTGTTATTAGTAGGATGTTTCGAAGCAGTATGTTTTCCATTAATCCAAATACTGCATTATAAAAGAGTCTAATAAATATATTAGAATATTTTTATACGCTATTTATATAAAAGCTATTTAGTTTGTAAGAAAAGTTGACGTCATCTAACTACATTAATCAACCGTAATGTACTTTATATAGTCTGTGGTTTTGTCGACGGCATATTAGGTGAGAAATTAAGTCAAATCATGTTTTAATTCTAGAAACTACCGATAGATGGCTTTGTGAGCAATAATTTACATATTTAGACAAAGTAAAAATTTCGAGAATTGTTTTTTATGTTGTTGGAAGTACTTAATTCGGGGAAACACTGACATGCCATGAAGTAATGATGTCACAAGAGTTCACAACATTCGGGGATAGCTTTAGGAAAATTAAACTTGAATTAAAGTGTACCTAGATTAAACTTTTAATGCATTGGCTTGTTTATCATGTTTTTCTAGGACACAATAAAATAAAATATAATACTTTATTCTCTTTTAAATGTAAAAAAATATTTAGATGCGTCAAAATATTTTTTCGTTTGTCTGTCTGTTCGTCGCGATTCTACAGTGTTTAAAAGAGCAACATAACTGAGAAGAACACTCAAGAAACTCAGTCCGGCCTCTTGAGACAATCTAAGTTTTATATCTTTCTTAAATTTATTTATCGATAAATTTGAAACCTCAACCGACAATGTATTATACATACGAATTCATACAATTCCCCGCAAATGAATTCGATATTTTATGGATATTTGGGGATAGCTAGGATATCCTTATTTCGTAAGTTCAAATTATGCCTATCACTATTCTTGCTTTTATTCTTTTGGGCATACAATACATTTTCATAAATATACTACGAGTACACAGTAAGTATGACGATATTTTTAAAGGTATCTCTTAATGACTCCCGAGATCCCATACCATAGATAGTCCGGACCGCCCTTTTTTGCAACACAAAGGTACATTCAATGTCGGCAGCGTTACCCCACAGTAGTATGCCATATGTCATAACACTGTTTTAATGTCTGTTATTTGTTTGATCTTTTTTACGGTATAGGCTGCAGAACTGAGCTTGCTCGAGGCTTTCCTGATATGAGATCCCCATTGTAATTTGGGGGCTAACGTTATGCCCAAAAAGACACTGATTAAAAACAATTAGGTAAATTGATCATGATTCTGTAGTAATTATAACCGATTGCTGTAGCAAAAATTGTTACAGTTAGGGAATATTTAATAAAACGAAAACATTAAGGCGCAAAGTTTATTGTTGTGTCCTTATCTAATTATTAATCATATGTTCTATAATATTCAAGACGATGTTTCAACGCACAAATTACTGAAAATTTGTTTGGAATGTGATGGAAAAAAGCTCAAAGTTTCATAAATACAACGAAACATTTTAAACTTCGATATTCAAATTCAAATGGATATGTTTTAATTTATTGCATCGAGGAAGCATATATCTTACAATGGAATATTAAAAATACACATACAGTACTTGCGCCACTATATAAATACTGGTTGTATACTAGGAGAAAGTGTTACTCCACTACAAAAATAAACTTACGTTAATTTTACTATTCTTTGTACTACAAATAAATACTTAAAACATAGATGAATAAGTACACAATACAATGCAGTCTGTTACATCACATTTAAGAAAAACTTGACCACAGAATAAGATACAACACAGAAATTAAACTTACAAACAATACCTAATCAACGGCTGTGGAGACAAAATACATGTATCACGAATTAAATTAGTCTTACATGACCTAATACTGAATAGGGCATTATCCGAAGTATTTTGAATTGTAACGAAATGTATTTTACTTGACAAAAGGCAGTTCTTATATTATGCAGATAAAATAAGTTGGGTAGAACATTCAGTAATAGTCGCTAATAATCGTAAAAAGGATTAATGATTACTTTCAACTAAATACTGTCTGTAGTTTACGCGAGCAATACACATTAAAATGAATCAATGTAACGGTTTAAAACGCGATATATATTAGTTAAAATTATTTTAGCAGCCGTGGTGCAGCAAAGCAAAGTTAAAATAATTTTCAAATAAGTATAACTAATATTTATCGCGTTTAAACCGTTAAATTGTTTTATTTAAATACTTACAACTATTTTTAAACACATGGGGTGGCAATGAGGCACTTTCCTTTCCTAACCAACACTAATCAACCACAATAAATTAGCGAACACATACAAACCAATAAAATTACAATTAAATAAGTTAGAATAATACTGTCTGATAATAATTGCTCACAAATACTAATAATAGCACTTACGCGAGATAGACACATGCATCCTTGACAGTGTCGTTGTTACATTATTACAACGAAAAATTGATGATTTCATTATAGCTAAAGAAATGTACCGTTGAAAAAAAAGTAGATCACTGGTCAGTATATGCCGAAACATTATTTTTAATATTTCATGGGACAAACTAGTTTTTCATGCTTTATTCATTTCTAGAGACCCAAGAGTCTTTTGACAGTATTTTGGTTATATAGAAATAGTTAAAATTATGAAGTCATTAGTCTTAGCACATATAGGTTGAAGCAAAAATCTGCATCTTTTTGAAAAACAGAAGAAGACAAACAAGAATTACTTGATGGAAAATACATCTTAATGAGAAGTCCTGTCGACCTGTTATCATAACCAATGAGTATGACAAGAACATGTCAATGATCCTTGCAAACAATGATCTCATACGTAAGAAAAGGATTTTTGACAAGAGATACAGAATCCACATTGGGGAAAGGCAGAAGTGGAGAATAGACTCGGAAAATGTGGGCACAGTATGCTACACAGATGGTTCCAGGAAAGAAACGACAAAGCTCTCTGGGTCAGGCATATACATGAGATGCGAGGACGGAATAGAGATAACAAGATCAATCCCTCTGGGGAAACTTGTTAGCGTATTCCAGGCGGAGATATTCGCCATGATGGAATGTGCAGAGATTGCCAGGCACTTAAGACCCCTGTCAAGTGTTACAATTTACAGTGACAGTCAGGCGGCACTTAAAGCGCTATGCAAAGAAGAGACAACATCCGCTATTGTCAAAGAATGCAAGAAAGCACTGCACAAACTAACTGATCAGGTAGAAGTGGCAATTGCCTGGGTCCCCGGACACCAAGGAAATATTGGCAATGAGAGAGCGGACGAACTCGCTCGCGAAGGAGCCGATGAAAGCTTGATTGGGCCGGAACCGAGACTTCCGATAGCCCATAAAGTAACCAAGGGAATAATCGAGCGCAGAATCATAGAAGCAACAAACCAAAGATGGAAATCTTCGACTGGAATGAGACAGTCGAAGATATTCATACATAGCCTAGATAAAAAGAAGACCAAAAACCTGGTAAGATTAACGAGAGCGAATATCCGACTCATCGTAGAAATCATAACAGGACATTGCCGTCTAAACAGACATCTTACAATGATAGGAATAGGCAGCGACCCCCTATGTCCGGAGTGCAGAGAAAGTGAGGAAACAAGCATCCATCTATTCACTGAATGCTCTGCATACTCGAGACTGAGACAAACACATATGAGTTCGGACGAAGTTACAGAAGATGAGATCAAAGAACTACAGATGGAAAAAATAATAAGATTCTGCAAGCAAACCGGAAGGTTTGAAGGGGACACGGGGAGAGTTGGATGACCCAAAACCTCTACAAGGAGGAAATGGGTGCAATGGTCAGCGGACAATGTGGACTGATCACCCGTCCTGCCAAGGGTGTCCCTGATAGAAAATAATAATAATAATAAGAGATGTAGCTATTGATAGTGCGGTATGCTGTCGGCGCATGCACAAAAAGCCTATTTTGGGTTGGAACCACTATCTCAAAAATAGTTACAGAAACGCACGAAATCATTTTGCGAAGTGGGTGCTTGCAGGAAAGCCAGTACAGGGTAAATGGTATGATAATATGAAATCGAGCAAAAAGGACTTTCAAAAGTAAGTTAAAATGGTGTCAAAATCATGAAGAAGAAATCAAAATGAATGTGCTGGCTATGCACAAGTATAACAAAGATTTTGTTAAGTTTTGGAATTCTACTAAAAAAATGAATGGTGTTACTAAATTGCCTACTAATATAAATAATGAAGAAAACCCCTTATTGATCGCGAACAACTTTGCGAGTCACTTTCGTGTCTCGCCTTTACCTATCCCCTCCGTTATTAAACTATTAGACTATAGCCTTAATTATAAAACAAATGTCGCGCGGCACATGGCCTAAAATATAATACGGCAGAGACAGAAGTAATGGTGTTTAGGGCTGGAATAGGTCCAGATCATATGCCTAAGGTATATATGAATGGCGAGGCGATAAAAATGGTTGATGAAGTTTAGCTACTTGGGGCACGTATTAACGGAGCGGGCATCTGACAAAGCTGACATTGAACGTGAAAGACGATCACTTGAAAATCCATCATGGAAACGGCAGTATGATGTCCTCAGAGTGCAGTTAAAAAGGACCATCCGTAGAGCCAAAAGGAGGCATCTGGAGGATATCATCGTAAATATGGAAACCCTGATGAGAGCCAACGAATCGCGAAAGTTCTTCCAAGAAGTGAGATCCGTTAAGAAGGGATACCAACCAACGTCACAATTTCTGCTCGATGAGGAGGGAAATCTTGTTGCGGGGACTGAAGAATTGAGGAATGCGTGGCGTAAATACCTCCAGGAGCTTCTTAACCGCCCCGAGGTGGGGCAACGTGTAACTCCGGTGGTGCAGGTAGTACCGGAGACTAATGTCTCCCCTTTGTCGTTTGAAGAAGTTAAGCGACTCGGGAAGGACTTGAACCTGGCATCGTAAGCGTTTCTAATTGAGCTACCGAGTCCCGCAGCTCATAGTCGATTTTTTTTCAACATATTGATACATGCACCTATCGCGCGATTTAATTATTTATTACTAGCTGTGGGGAACTGGGGAATATCAACTGGCTTAAGTTGTGTATTTTTCTCGGGTGCAACTAATTTTGTCCTTTTGTGTACTGGGTTTTAGGACAAACGCATATGTTTTTGGCTAATAGACTTTACTTTTGGACAAGAATATGGTTAGGATAGGATATTTGTGATTTTTCTATGTTCAAGTATTTTTCTATATTCATATTATCACTTAATTAAAGGTATACTAACACTTCCAACCGGATTATCTCCATATAACAGCTACATTTGGATCGTCTTCAATAATCTGGTCAAGTGTGGGCAAATCAATACGTGCGATACAGCAAATTTCATCTGCGCAATGACTGCCTGTAAATAGACGTCTGATACCGGGCGCTACCTCTAGACGACTATTAAATCCGTTCGTACGATTTGCGTTACGAATGTAGACTGGGTATCTGTAAACGAAATAATCTCTTTATTAACTACACTAAATTAATCTCTAGAATCTTTGCCACTTATATATATTTCACGATAACAACAGAGAGTACAAGGTTTTTGTAAAATACCGATTATTATAATGCTTAGTTTCTTAAGTATTATCTGTAGTTTACGAAAGTGGACTTCAAACAAACGTCAAACTATATAGCTCACACACAGATGGCGTGGCGGATTTGACTTTGCCATTAGGGACACCCTCCATCTTTAGCTACCCTATGACCAAGAGCATCCGAAACGTAGTTAATATATATTGTAAAGAAGTTAACTAATACATTTCGAGTTTAACACCGTCAAAAAGCTCAGTTTTATTTAATAAAGATGCCAATAAGATATTTGGCGCAGATGCACGCTATCCATGCGATACATATAATGCGCTACTTAACAAAGCGAAAAATATAGCGTCAACTATTGTTATCAGTATTAACGATTAGTTAAGAAATAATAAAACAGTCACATGACACATTAACTTTTTTAAACATTTGTCACGAGACACAAAACGTCACTAGTTTATAAACAGTGATATAAACCACCGTGCTTCAGTGTTAAGACTGTTTAAAACTCTCATTTTACTTCAATGACTGTTAAAATGAAAATGTTAGTTACAAATACATGAAGATTGTAGGTCATATGATCAACACAGACCAATGGCTAATATAAGGCCGTGACGTCACTAGCTGTGTTTTACAAAATTAGCGTTTAGGCAGGCCTTTTAAATGTTGGATTTTTAAATTGATATATTGCAAAAAAATACTATCTGTGGTTCCGTGCATCCCAACCAAATCTATACTAATATATAAAGCTGAATAGTTTGTTTGTTTGTATGTTTGAACGCACTAATCTCGGAATTAGACACTTTTTTTGTGTTGGTTAGAGAATTTATCGACGAAGGCTATAAAACACCGCCCTGTAACTAATAAAAGCGAAGTTACAGCGAGAAATGTGAAAATAATTCATCATTATGGGTTTCCGAGGCGTACGCTCCAAAAATGCTTCAAGACACCCAAAAAATATATATGAAAAATCTTTTAAATAGCCTATTATTCTGAGCCAAGACAGTTATTTCTCTTACCTCTTCAGACACCTGATCAAGCCGTGCAGCTGCGCGAAAACTACAAGGCGACGCACGTCGAACGACGTTCCAATTATGTTTGCGAATCTCTCGCAGACAGTCCGAAGCGTCGTGCCTTGTTGCAGAGCGCATAAAACCCGTAATACGTTTTGTAAGAGAGGCTGGAACACACAATTAACTTATACACCGCTGTCCCAGGTCGACCCTGTAGCTAAATAATGTAAAATTTGGAATAAATAACAATTTTTAACGGTATAAAAAGCCAAAACTTTTAACTTATTTACAGTGATCACGACACTGCTGCTGCAGAGCATACTAAACGTTATAGAATATATTTCAAACTTTAAACCGTTGATAAGTGTTTTATTTGAATGTGTACTCGTAAGCTAAAAACAAGTTACCTTCTCCTTATTGTCGCCTCTTTGGACAAAGTTGAGACAGGACTGTTGCATTTCTTCGTCGCTGAATAAGCGACTGAGATTCGGAGTGGCACGGTACATGTTACTGAACTTGAGCACTGGTATGAGCGTGACCTGAGAAGAATTTGATTGATACAAATCGAACATCCTTGGATAGCATTAAGCTCTATAGGCTCAGAACTTGGGAAAGCAGAGACGTTGGGCTAAAAGCCATAGGACTCGTGGTAGCAACGTATGACTAATAACTGGACATGACTTCGATTCCCACAATATGTTGAATCTATCATTTTGAATTTGTGGCCGGTATAAAATTCTAGCAGGTCACGACCGATGAAATAACCCGGATATGTAAAGCTACAATAGATTTAGCATTAGATAAATTGAAATTAGATTTTAGATTGAAAAAAATTACTGTTATTTAAATTAATTTTTTCATTGCACGAGAGGTGCATTCAACGACGACGTGTAGGACACGATAGCTCGAGATTAGAGCAACAGCGCGGGATGCTGTAGATGCCGGTTCAAGTCCTGACCGTGTCGTGAAAGTTTTCAATCTAAAATTGATTTTTAGCCCTTCTCATTAAGATGTGTTACCCTCCTCTATCCTTTGTTAGAGAATAGGAAAATAGGCGCAAATATGCAAATTTATTCATTGGAATTTTACATTAGCTGTCAGCGGGCAACAGTACTCGACTGACGGGTCACGCATGCAATAGTGGTCTGAATATTGTGTTGAAAAGTACTTACCACGCCATAATACACTAAGTTATGTACACAGGACTTCACGAGGGTTTTTTCCACATTGGTGTCCGCTGCTAATTTTGATACATGGTTGTACCCGTTGATTAGGGGCAGCAGCTGGGAAAAATAAAATCTCATCAATGTTGAGCTAGCTAATGTCTTGTTGTCAAATGTAATATTAATACACTAGCTGTGACAACTTCGTCCGCGTAGAATAGTTATTTCGGGCATCCAATATTGATTTTTGTATACATCTTTAATTTTAAACAGTTACCCGCTACTTTGGACCGGCGTTCCGTTGTCCTTGCAAGTTAATCTTAAAAGATCGACATACAGAGTTTTTTTTAGATAGTTTAAGGGGGGTATCTATATCTTTTTTTGATATCTTGAAACATTATTACAGCGTACGCATGGAAAGCTTACAAAGATGGATAATTTCCCCCGTTTTTTCACATTTCCCGCTGTTTCTTTTTATTAGTCGCAGCACGGTTTTATAGCCTTTATTGTTAAATGCTCTAGCCAACACAAACATATTTTTTTAATTAGAACCTGAACTTCCTGAGATTGGGGTGTACAGACAAACAAACAGTTTCATTGGCTGGAAAATTGGTTCAAGATACCCGAAAAAGAAAATGGTTCTGATAGTATGTATCTTTTAAGATATACTTAGAAGAACGACAGGTCGCGATCGACGCTGTGTGTACAACTATAGTTTATCAGGGAGGTTTGCAAACACAAATTTTGATTGTATTAAAACGTAGATTTTCTATTGTAAATAAAACCTGTCTAGTTGTGAGGTCCCATTCGGAGTCCATGTCTATTTCGAATGGTTCTTCATCATCAAAGTCCAAGCGGTCTTGACTGGTAGAAATAGACTGGGCGCCAGGAGCCACGCGACTGCGAGGTGGTCTTCCCGGCCTGGGAAGACCCACTGATGCAATTAGGACCGGAACGTCATAGTCGTGAACCGGTGGTGGGTCTTTCCGCACTTCTAGCACTTTTAAATGCATCACCGTGTCTCCCTCTAAAAAAGTTTAAAATCATCATTTATTAGTTACCTTTATCTCTTTGGTAGAATTTGTGTTTTGTTGGATTAATAATATATATTTATTTTTATTTATAAAAATTGTCTTAAAAAGACAACTATTGGAGAAAAAAAATAGTATTTCTAGTTTTGAGCGGCCTTATCGCCACGGAGCGATCTCTTCCAAGTAACCCTTGTTTGAAAAGAAAAAACAAGATACATATTATGGAAACGTGCAGAGCGTAGGAAGCTTAAGAATAAAATAATAATAAGTAACATAACACAGTTAAGAAGAACGTGTTAAGTTTGTTGGTAGGTAGTTGACAAAAAATATTTATGCAGAATTATATAGTCTAACTTAACAAAGTTAGTGTTTATTTGCAGCTCTCACAAGTTAACAAAATAGTGCAACAAAGATATCTTCTACAGTCATCAATAGTATTTGATAAATTGTATTTATCTATTAACATTTCATGACTGTATTTGTAACAATATTATGGCTTTGATGAAATTTGACGGTGCGGTTTGTGCGATGGTAGCAAAGTATGGCTAATCATCATCGGGCCATGGGATCAATCCCTACTGGGTCCAAGATTTTTCTAAGTAATTTATTTATGCAACATGTAGGTTTTTCTCTGGAAATCTGAATTTTAAATAGGTGGTAGATATATCGAAGTTCTGACCAGGTCACGAATCACTGTCCACAGATGTAAATGCAGTTTGACTACCATCAAATGCACCCCATAATTGTCTGTCTCCTCTATAATAAAAAAAAATAATTTAGAATTTCAAACTTACCAACAAGGGTTGCTCTGCGAAATGTATTAAGATCATGTAGAAGATGAGCTAGCAATGTGGGCAGTTTTGTAGATCCGCTGGACACAAATCTCGTTTCTTCTTCCATTAGTGTCTGCAAAATAAGTCAGGTATTAAGAAATATCCCGTAGATGGTCCGTGTAGGTTTTGAATGCTAGTGAGATGCAATTTACAATGACTTAAGCCACAATCTAAGTGAGATTTGTTAGCCACACTTATTGGATTATTAAAAAAAGTATTACCTTAAAGCAGCCAATGATAATTTTCTGTATATTTTTTTTTTTTTATATTTGTTGTAAGGTTAGTTATCAAATATTTATCAATGCCATTTTACACAGTTCCAAATTAGTTATTTTTTACCTAATGCTACAAAATTAGTGCATTTATTTTGCTAAGTTTAAGTTAAAAACCCCCATTGACTTGTAACCTGGTTTCAGCTTTGCTAACATTAGGTCGTAATAGCAATTGAAACAAATAAATAAGTGGCATACCAAATGTTCCCCCAACTTCTTGACGACAGGTTCATATTGAACAGTTTTTGACCAGCTGTCGCACACAAAGCACACATTAAACAAGTACATGTTGCGTTCATATCTTGAACTTTCTATTCTGATCGGATAACCAATAATCTTATGACCTAGTGAGTTTCTGAAAAGGTACAACAAATTATGATTAAATATTTGAAACTGGTAATACATCATCTTATTGTATAGAACTGGTATTTGGTTTATAAAAAAGCAGTCGTAGATACATAAGATACTAGTTCCTTCTCTTTCGATTTTTTGAGCTGCCCAGAGGAATAATTTAGATATGTTGTGGTGATCCATGCAGCACCGTAACATATAAGTGATATCATTGTTGTGTGTTGCTCAACTAAGAAAGATCCATGAACTACTAAAATAACTGTGCAAATGGGCTGTGAAAGCCTTATACAATTTGTAAACTTACATTGTCATAGTGCATTTCTGTATTTGGGGTTTTGGAATGATGTATGTGCTAATAGAATCAAACACTTCTTTAGATACATAGTCTTCAGGAAACTGCAATAGAACAAAACCCAGCAGTTTAATAACAATAATTATAAGAATGCAAGCACTGGCAGTTACACAATTTAATAGGTGGAGCTAATTTCAACACAACCTAAGTAAAAGGTACTTTAAAACCTGCTGTCTAGTTTATTTAACTTGCCCAAAGTTGATGCAGCTTGGCAGCAATTAGGAAATACAGGGGACATTCAAATGAAGCAGATAAGACGACTTAGATCTCAAACCATTTTTTTTTTCGAAGGCAATTGACATTCAAAGCGAAAATAGGCCACGCGCTTGGTTAAAGTTATACAAGATCTAGTTACCTGACAAGAAATTTTTGGACCAGCAACGGGATGAAATTCACTCAGAAATATACAACGAATCGGGCCCTCGCGTCCACAACCCTCGTAGTAACCCGTTTCCATGATGTTCGAAGACATTTATAATTTGTTCTTTAGATCGAAAGTTACACCAGCGCTTATAAAAAAATCTTGTTGAAAAACAATTTAATATTTTCCTTTGTTCAAACACATTAATTCCATTATTGAACAATTTTTAAACATCTTGTTTCGTAGTAAATATGTTCTTTGAGTCTTGACTGTTGACTGTTGACAACCATGTTTTTTTTTTTGTTTCTATGGCCTGGTATACAACCTTTAGGACAACTCTAATTTACAATTAATGAATATGCTCATAGACGTAAAATAACGTTTCATTAAATTGTTTTAATTGTATTCTTTATGTACTCGTAAGTGCGTCTTGACACAATTGTTTTAATAGTGGTGAGCGGGACAATCACTCTTATTTTCAATATCTTCAAATTCACTGGTCAACACTAGTTCGTCCATCAAACGTTTTTGACAATCGAAGATAACCCCAAAGCTCCATCACTTGTAAATTGTAATGTAAACTTTTGTTGGTTGGAAATTGGAATGTAATCGAGCTAGGTGTATATGAGCAAAACGCTATCTATTTATGATAGTAATAAATAATTGGGACAACAGTGTGTTGTTTTTATATATTATGCCAAAGCAAATAGAGAATGTTAGGGATTGTTAAAAGATTTCGTCTAAAGTGGAAACTTGTTACAGATTCAGGCCCATGAAAATGGGCCCAATATTATTTTTTAATTTATACATATAACCTCATCTGAATATGATTTATTCCTAAGTCTTATACCTTTGAACATTTTAATAAAGTACAAATTTTATTTAAGCAAGTATTTCCATTAAATAATAAGTATACTATCCAATGTTTTTCTTTTCTGAAATTGTTTTCTTTTTTTGCGCATCGGTTCTTTTGTAATTAATATAATTTTCATAGTAGGCTTTCTGTATAATTTTAGTGCACTATATAAAGCAATAACACATTGTTCACATATACTATTCAACCAAGGAGATGGTGGCCTGCTTATCAAAGGGTTTGTTTTAATGAGTTTTGAAATTGACACATCTTATAGTATATCGAAATATAAACAGAAATTGTTATAAATTGAAATAGGATTCTGTGATTAAAGTATCAAATCATTAAGCATTGTTTTTGAAAGAGTTGCATATTGCAGTCACTTTTTTTATCTTTGAACCATGTCTCATGAAGAAGGCAAATATCTACATTTTTTTGATGACCCAAAACCTCTGCAAGGAGGAAACGGGGAAATGCGTGAAATGGTCGTCGGATAACGTGGACTGATCACCCGTCCTGCCACGGGGGCCGCGATAGAAACTAATAATATAATAATAATGGGATTGTGAATACATTTATCCTGCATTAGCATATGCCTGTAAACTTAGAGACGTGGCTTGTTCGACTCTTCAAATCAATCTGGCATCTAGTTCTTAGTGTGCATGCTGTGAATCCTGTGCAAGCTAATCGTTATTATATAGGGATATTATGGTACAGATTATTGTAAAACATGTACAAATTGTATTCCAGTCTTCAGCAGAAGTAGTGTCGAGGCTTGTTTTTTTAGTATGACCTAGTCGGTCATTGTTTGTTACTTTTGAGATAATTTGTATATTTCTTATAAAAAATGTGTATCAAAAGTTTATTGAGAGGACGTTGATTTTGTAATTTTTATGTCTTTAAGAGAGAATAGAAAAAGGTATTAGATATCAAAACTTCACTGTTATGTTAGTGGGATTAAATGATCTATTGTGGAGAAGTATCTATATTATTTTATCTAGTGAGTAACAAGATTTGGGTTCTAAAAAGCATTATAGTGTAATTAAAACTTTGAAATTGGAGGATCTTTATTTTCAAGAGGGCACACGGGAACACCAAATTCATAATTACGAACATTCACATGAAAGATTATTTAACACACATATTAGGTAAGTGTTCACACTATTCAACTTTAATTACACACATAGACAGTTAAAACATTGCATATTGAATATTAACAAATGCGAAACTCGCTGGTTGACTAACTCCGCACCAAAAAGTTTGTAACATATGACAGCTAACCCACTACACACTGGATCTTCTTAACTGTACTAGTATACTGATTTTATCTTGAGATGTATCTGTATGTATATCTTATTAACAAAGTTAGGCAACAGATAAATTTTACTTTAAAATACTTCAAACAAGAAAATAATGCAGTAATACAGATTTGTATTTATATCTATAATTATGTATGTAATAAGTAAATTTATTTTCTAATCACTTTCGCCAGTGTCCAGATATCAAAAGACATCTTTTACTTCCAATGCGCAGTTATTAATTTTAGAAATATTGACAAAAAATAAGTAATGTCGCTCCTTTGCCTTCTAAAATGCGCAAAAACTGAATTTCTATGCAAATATATATATATATTTAATTATACTCAATATATTATATATTAAGTATAATTAAATCGTAATTTCTTCTTTGAACTCCATCTGTTTTGCCTTACTTTCGCTTGGATAACTTAAATACGTATCTCATCTACAAATATCACATGAATATTTTTATGTGATATTTGTAGAGATAATATATTAAATTTCTTTCTAGTAGAGCCCAATATCGAGTAGCATAACAAACATATTATTGTTTGTCAGTATTCATTTAATTATAACGGTGCCATTGATATATGTAAAGCAGTGGCAATCATTCTCTGTAATCGCTCGAGATATCGGCGGCAAATTTTATTACACTGGAACTCCCTGTCGAACCGAGATCAATAAAACCCCAGTCGCTCCTACAACACATAATGCATAAAGAGCAGTCTTCACAATTCCTTAACATCCGAGTCCTTAATTTAAGTTTAAATTCGCTTAATGTCAATGGAAACGAGAAAACAAAAGAAAAAAACGTATACTCAAAACATTTATTAAAGTAAGTACATAAAATAAAACATGGTGTATATGAATTGAAACATTGAAAAAATAATACTGAACTAATTAATTAATAATTATATAATCTGTATGTCAGATGTGCTACCAGCGCGAATTGTTATATAAAAAAATAATTGCCTCTCGAAGCTTCTAGCAATGGTTAATAAATGGTGGATATCAGCTTCTTTGAATCACCTTAGGTGTAAAGAAATTGTAATAAATTCTTAACTTAATAATTACATTCATTAGAGATATTCTAGACAACGACACGAACAACTGTTCCCTCCCAGTGTTGAGAATCACTCGGGACTACGTGCTGTTTGTTAAAAAAAAGTCCTGAAAGCCGGTATCAATATCAAAATTTTCTTTCCGTTCCTCGTTTTATACCTACCTCTTTCGTAGACCACACCTTAAAAAAATATTCTGTACGTATTTTTGTAAACTGTACCAATTGTACTAGTATAATATCAATAAAGTTTGTGCACAAATTTTGAGCCCAAAGACATTATTACTATGGATAATTGTCTGTTGTTAACACGAATAATACACATATAAAACACTTTTAACGGTTTAAAACACGCAATATTTAAGTGAACTCATGTACAATTAACATTACCTACGGCCCGACGTTTCACACGTGTCTCCATGTAATGGCAAAGCGGCCGCAACGTCAGGCCGTAGTTAAGTTGTCAATAAGCTAATATATTACGTTTTAAACAGTTCAAGCTTTTATTTAAACCGTCATCCATTTTTCATATTAAGAAATTACACTGATAAAGATTGTAGGACATCCGCCAGGTGTTATAGGCCCCCAATCATATATGTATCAAATACTAAAATAGACCTACTATAAGTCTAATTACGATAATCATAATTACAAGTGAGACATATTTTTACTCTAAGGGCATTTTTACACGTAAAAAGTAGTCACACATACTAATATAGGTTGAAGAGCCCGACATTAAATCAGCATTTTTTCACAGATCAACATTTATAATAGTTTTCGGTGCCTTCCCCCCCCACGATTAGTTTAGCGTAGTTGTTACAATGTGATAGTAAAGATAGGGGTAAAAGGTATACATGAATCACATTTATTATTTAAAACACAAATTTCAGAGACTCCCACGCAGAAAACTAACCAAAAGCGAGTTTTATCATAATTTATATTTATAACCTATAAAATTATTCGGACTACTGTTTAGTAAGTACTATTTGTATTTTATGCGAGTAATTAAATAAAACTGTTTAAAACGCGAAATGCAGCCAAAATTGGCATGAGTTACAATAAACTGTTAGTATGAGATATTATGCGTTTTAAACCGTTTAAGGTATTGAAATACTTGGATTAAGCAGTTTTCTGTCGTTATATATATATATATACTCGCGTTTGTGTAGTTTTAAGTGTGTTTGGATTTATCCAATTTAACAATTATACATATAATGAACACACACATACGGAACATAAGACTAGATATTAACACTACATAATGTCCCTATTTATTTATAATTATTAATTTAAGCGTAACTTTCTTACGATTATACACAATGTTATTTACATTATAGAACGACGAATTCAACTTACCGCATTTCTTTTCATAATCAAAGTAATATCGGAGCGTAATAATCAATATTTTTGAACAATATAACACAGCTAGACACTGTGTCTGTAGTTCACGAGTAAATTCACATTTAAATAAAACACCTTATCTAAGTCTCCCCGTGACCACGGCTGCTGCGAAGCATCCGAAACGTCGGGCCGTAGTTAAAATATTTTTTGAAATAATACTAACATTATATCGCGTTAAACCGCAAAAGTGTTTTATTTAAATATAACACCGGTAAAAAGGATTGGCACAATTTAAACTGGTGTATAAACAATAAATTCGTAGAAACGAAATAAATGGTGTATTATTATAATGATTATGAACTAGATGCGGTTGAAATAAGCCAATTAAACCATTTTTGACCGGTTAGTGATAAAAAAAAAATTCGCACATTAATCAATTTTATTTTACGTTAATACTGAATTCGCTTACATGTTATGTATATACAATCAAGTTAAATCTAAAAAAAGCTTAAACCTACATTTCTGTCAAGCCTTTGTTGATTATATGACGTTAAAAGTAAAATTGAGACTCGCGTGCTTAATTCTAACTTAGTAAAAGGATCTTTGAAATTATTGAGCTGTTCCTGCGATTTTCCACGGTCATATTGTATCTTATGATCTAAAACACAACCTAAAATATATAAAAACATAACGTAAATACAATTTGTACTAAACGTCTTGTCAACATTTGAAGCTTTGTGCGGTAGTGGACTGAGAGAAAATCAATTTAAACGAAAAGCGACCTTCAGTTCACGGGTATAAGACGCAAAGTTGAATGATTGCGAATGGCCTATATGTTTTTTTTTTAATGATATAGGAGGACAGACATGGCATCGGGTTCACGACCGATTTTGGCTTTCCCCACAGGAAACCGAAACGCGATTAAACTTCGCGGATCTTCCATCTGTTTTCGTGGTTCGTGTTAATAAGTTGGAAACAGAAAAATATCACTTTCATTTCAGCTGTCGCCCTATAGCCACAATAAATCGAAGCATGTGAAATCGAAGGGTATTTTGACATATTTGTTTTGGGGCAAGGTCATTACGACATATACTAAAACATCCAAACAAGAGATATGTAGATGTTTAAACTGAATTATCCGAAGACGAAAGTTCAACGCGATGAGATTCCTGAAAAAAAATACAACATAATAAACAAAAATATGCTAATCATTTTTACACCAACTACCAATACTGGGTCTTGAACTTATTAAACTCTAGCTGTGTCAGCTTCGTCCACGTAGAAAATTTTATTTTGGGCATTCAAATTAGTTTTTGCAAACCCTTTTATCTCTATAAACTTAAGCTGTTAGCCACGACGTCGATCGCGTCCCTTCCTGTCTTTCTTGCAAGTTAATCTTAACAGATAGACATAAATGGCGGATTTTTTTTAGATCATTTATAGATTAATCATTATTAGATATTCTGTTTTGGGTATCTTGAACCGTGTTCGCAGCGTACGCAACGAAAACCCGAAACGGTGAATAAGTTTCCCCGTTCTTACACTCACTCCCACTCTTCCCAAAATACCCAGAGAAGATAGTTCCATTGTTTTAGGTTCAAAAACCACGAATTTCGATACAAACTTTAACCCATTTTCAACCCCTATCAACCCTTTTCTATCCTATGTCCTTTCTCAGGCTCTAAAATATCTGTGTACCAAATTTCATTTAAATCAGTTCAGCAGTTTCAGACTTAAAGCCGAGCAGACAGCCAGACAGCGTTTATAATTATAAATGCGAAAGTAACGTAAATGCTATCATCAAGCCTTCGTCATTAAATGCTCTAACACAAAATATATTTTCCAATTCGAATCTGTAGTTCCTGAGAGCTACGTTCAAACAAACAAACATTCTTCAGCCTTATATATTAGTATAGATTCTAGTTAAGTATATTATGTACGTTAGGAATATCTGGATACTTACAAGGGACACTCACAAAAGTTCAGTAACAACTACTTAGACCAGGAAAAGACAAGCTTATGCACCAAATAAGTAGAAGTAAGTTTCACTTAAATTTAACTCTTTAGTAACATATTTCTGTCTCTTTCGTTTAGAGACAAACGCGACGGAGATAAAACGTATATAAATATTACTACTTAAATAAATATTTATGAATGAAATAAAGGATCTACATCGTCGCATTGAAGAAACCTTATACTTATTAGGTGCGGCATGCATCAATGCAGAGTAGAGTAGAAATAAACATCGATCTTAGCACCTGTCATCACCTCAACGGGCAGCGAGCTGCGTCGAGTCACGTGCGGCAGCTCCATGCTATGCATCCATTGCTGGCAGGTGACCGGCGGCGGCTTGCGTCGGTTGCCGTTCGAGCTGTTCCTCGCCAACGCTACAAGGCCCGGCAGCTCCGATGCGCTGACCGGCGCGGGGGCGGAGCCCCGGCGCCGCTTCGCGCAGTCCTTGCCGTAGACATGGCGGAGGATCTCCGGAATGGTGACCACTTCTCGCATCCGCTTCTCTTTTGGGGCTGAAAGTTTTTGATAATCTATAAAGGATTATTCATTTCACGTATTAAAGATACGATAAGATTTTGTATTCCCATACGAGCGGCACTAAGTCACCGGAGCGGATCAAATTAATATATAACAAAATTTGTATCTTACCGAATATTTCCTCAGCCGGCATAGACTTCCTCCTGCCCAGCAGTTCATTCGCCGGGAACATGCTCAAGTTCACGGCTGAAAGATTCTCCCTCAACTGGCTTCCCCTCAACCGGTTAGTCGACCTGTTTGATGTGTTTATATTCTCCTTCTCTTCATAATGCCCCATGTTATCCTTCTCCTCCTTAAATTTGTACGTCTTATCCGGGTAATCGGCTTGCCGGGTGGTCGTATCTTCTGAGCTAGTGTATAACGGTCGGCAAAGCAGCGCCTGCGCTTGACCCGACATTTCCATAGGCGGGAACGTCGCTTGTCTGACCAGTTTCCACGTGTTGCCGTCCTTCAGAACGGTTTTCAGGCGGCTGGCCTGACACGAGGTGGTGATCGAGGCGATGGAGGAATCCGGGAGGAGATTCTCGGAGCTCAGCACTTTCTCCTTCGTTTCTTTGGTCTCGCAGTGGCCGCGAACGCTGAGTTGGGAGTGTAGAGATTGCTCGCTACCTATCATGCTCACGTTGCTCTTGCTCTGCGTTTCTGCGAGAGACGCGGTCCGGCTCTTCTTGAAACGCGAATCTTGGAACACGTTGAGCGGTACGGAGAAGCGTCGCAGTTGTTGCCTGAGGCTGATCGGTTTCGGTGGGTTGAGTGAACTCCTGCGCGGAAGCAGCATTTCGGAACTGTCTGATAAATTAGTCCCGGAGCAGGTTTCCAGGTCGTCGTCGACCATGTCGGCGTCCGAGATTTCGGTGCGCGTCTCTTCGGCTATCTCTTGGGCGACGAGCGACTCCCACTTGTTCTGGTTGTACATTAGGTTTTCGAGCATTTGGGCGGAGAGGTCGTTCTGTAAGAACTTGTGCCACTCCATTATCAGCGGGGTAACGACGAACTTGAAGAAACCTGAAACGGTTAATTATTTTGTTTTATAACTGACTTAATATGTAATTAAAAATTAAATTTTATTTATTTGAAGTTCTAACTTTATATGCACCAAAGATGACGTTTTATAAATTGTAACCTAAAAGCACCTCATGATAACAAGGGTTTTATAGTTTGGATTATTTTATAATTATATTTTAAGTATGATTCAGAAAAGGTGAGGTTTCTTATAAACATCAAATGTCCTTTCTTGCAGCTTTTCAAAGAAACTAATTCCGGTTTAACTTTAGGATTTTCAAATTTGGATTTATCTCTTATTTTATAGTTCCGACGTAGGATTCGTAAACAATAGAGATAACGCTGTCTTACTAAGGCATGTTTTAAACAGACGTTAGCTAAGATACGCATGCTATACCTAATATTTTCAAATATAGAACCAACGTTAGTGCCATTGTGCATAGCTCACATAAATTATGCATTTATACAGATAGTATACAAGTCTTTTTAAAATTCAGCGTTTTTTTAATAATAGAGGAGTAGTGCTTTCATTTGATGGTAGGTGAGGATGTGCTGTCGACTTAATTTGGCTTTGGACATTTGGACATCTAGAGACTGAAACCGTAACGCGATTAAGCTTCGCGGCTTTTTCATCTGTCAAAAAAAAAATTGTCAAAAAGCATTACCCGTCTGAATCTTGGGTATGGACGTGGTGTGTCGGTCGCACAGCGCAGTCACGGGCAGGTTAAGTTTTCTCTCGTAGTCCCCTTGACGGAAGAACTCTTCGCAGACCTTTAGGCTCCATTTCCTGCTGATCTCCCATGGTCGGCAGGGGTTGGATATATCCGCGCACTTTAACGCTATTTGTAGTACTAGATGGCGGTGGTCGCTGTTCCGCAAATCGAGGGTATTTGTGTCCATGTAGGTCTGGAAAAAGAAAGGCAATTCATTGTTTTTGATATTTTCACATGTTTTTGCACATGATGGCATTATATAAATTAACTATCTATTTAGATTAGAGCACTGTTCTAACCAGACACGGTAGTTCGATTGGTTAGAGCAGCAGCACGGAACGCTGTGGACACCAGTTCAAGTCGTGCCCGTGTTATAATTTTTTTCTAAATAGATTTTTAATTTATATATAGATTTGCTTTTGACCTTTAGCAATTCACTTTTCGAAATCTTTAAGTACGCTTAAAGCTAAGTATATTTTTAAAGATTATTTTGGACTTTCGCAGTCAGAGTTGTTTTCACCTCCGTTGCTAAATACTATGTCGTAAGTTTTATTTGAGCCAGTTACAAAACTTCCACAGTCTAATCCGTTAAACATTGGCAAGGCTTCTTCGTCGAATATCTTTTATTTTTTAAGAAACGATATTCGACGAATAAACGATTTAGAATATTGAGGTCGTTTGATTCATAGTTAATTGATATTCCTTTAACCCTGTGTCATCTGTGTCAACGACTACACTCCACAAAAAGGCATCACTAGTTATCTAGTTTTAATTGGCCCTATTTATTTATTTATATATTCTTTATTGCACAAAACATAATACTATTACAAATATATTATTTGTTGTGGTCTTTTGCCAATTTAGAAAAAATACACTATGGAGATTCAAAAAGTTTTTGAATTATCGCTTTATTTAGTCTCGTTTTTATCTAACAGCGAGTAGTTTGCAAACAAAGTTGATCGCATTTTTCTGTATGCATAACCTAGTAACACAAAGATTAGTTTCCAAATAAATCAGGAATTGTTTGCTTAACGAGACTTGATTGATGCATTTCGAATTAAATAACGTTCGAACGAGACAGGATATTTAAATTAAAAAAGAGTTTATAATAAGTCGATTGATTAATTTTCAGAACTCGTTGGTATACCAATGTATGGCTAATAATCAACTACATCAACTATCAACGGGTCGTGGGTCCGATTGTCGAATGTTTATTTTTTCTGTAACACGATATCTTCGTCTGGAAATCCAAATATAAAATGGGTGATAGGTATATCTAAATTCCATCCGCGTAACCTAAGCCAAAATACGTTGTCAGCGAATTTTGTTATATGTTATACGGTTGGGGTGTTTTACCTACCATCGAGCTGGCCTGTCCTCCTTTATCACAAAAAAATGTACTCACAAGTAGTGCCTTTCATCTAAAAAACTATTAGCTACTAAATAGGTGCAACAGACACAAATATGTGTTTATACCCCAAGATCGATCTTGGGGGATTCCACTTTTTATCCGTAGGCGTTATTTCCATATTCTCTGGAGCAATTAAAATTTTAGAGCCTGTAAATGCTGCAGCCAATCAGTGTGTTGTGGATCACGTCTTGGCACATTGCGTAAAGAATCTGGGCCAGAGAACAATATAAATAAGAGAATCACTTGTCTTAAATCCACCGTGCAATGAAACTTTGCAGACGTATCTGTTTGACCCAATTCTAGATACGAATACAAACAGAGATTAGTGCGGAATAGGGGTGCGCTGGCTAGTCAAAAAATAACGTAATCTCATGAATGTATTCAAGTAAATTGAAACGTCGGGCCGTATAATAATATTTTTTGCTAATGTGTTTTATTTAAATGTGTACTACCCGCGTAGAGACAGTACTCATGGACTTAGTTATTTATGCCCCTGGCTTTGGAAGCACCGTAGCTGGTGGTGTGTTTATTAGTTCTGGTCGATTCTCGCTTCCGGTAGGGTTGGTACCACCTGTACATAAATGGCCGACGTAGGCGTCACACTACTACGCCCGCATAGAGTAGTGTTTTAGCAAACACTTTTTTTGTAATCCTGATCGTTATAAACTATATCTGTTACCTATGATGTTGGTTGCGTCCCGTCTTTTTTGCGAGTTAATCTTCAAAGATAGACATGTACTGTCGCAGACGTTGTTTTAAGTAATTTAAAAAGGAACAATTCTCTCATATATATTTTTCGGGTATCTTTGAAGTAAATTAACTCACTTTAACGGTTTAACACGCGAAAATTATTAGTTAAACTTATATGAAAATGATTTTAACTATGGCCCGACGTTTCGCATGCTTTGCAGTAGCCGTGGTCACGGGGCCGTGTCTCATCTCTCCAAATAAGTTTAACAGGTGCCAGACGCAAGTGAAAAAAAAAATCTTTGTTGTAAAAATAAAAAATCATGATCAGAAAAATTTAGTCAAGTCAAGCTGCATACATTTTTTTTATTCTATCTACATAATATAGGTAACCAACCTCAGTTTTTACACACGACAATTAGTATACTTAGTATCTCTTAAAGGTGGTATGAATACATATCTTTTCCAGACAGTACAACCCTAATATAAGCGTTGATCACAACTGTGGGTCATTGCCGCGACAGATGAAGCATTAACTAGATTACCGTTATCAATGTGACACCGCTTCATAGCTGTGTAAAATGCACCGCGAGATAACATTAGTTTTTCACGTAAAAATAACGGATTAAAACGCTGTACTTAACTATCGTCCACTAAAAGCGGCATACGTTAAAACCAATTGAGTATACCTATAGTATGCTCTGTAGTTTTCGTGAGTAGGACATTTGAATAAAACACTTTTAACGGTTTTAAACGTGATATTTACTAGCTTATTTACAATTGCCGGGCTCGTCGTTCTGGTCGCAATGTATGGCTAATAATCAACGGGACGTGCGCATTTTGTATAGATGCTGTAGGCGGGGGTATATCATCTTTTATCAAGTAAGCCTCGTGCGAGTCTGTCCTCCGCTTTCATTAAAAAAATATATATATTTTAATGGTCCCGCATTTCGGATGTATTGCAGCAGCCGCGACCAAATTTTGAACCGTTAAAAGTGGATTGCAATCCGTTTCGATGACTATACCGTTTTACAATCGGTAATCTATATAGTATACTTATATGATGTAAAGTATAAATTGGTCCTGTGCAGAGTCTTCATAGCTTGTCGTAGGCGCACAATGTAACCGTTTACATCTAATTGAATAAAATGTCAAACGTCATCTGTTGATACGACGTGATTTAATTTCTAGAGCATTGCTATTTCAATTGGTTTTATTTTAATGATAGGTGGGGTCATATTCCTCAGCCTATAGCATCTGAATAAGATGCGCTGTCGACCTTTTTTGGCTTTGGATATTCGGAAACCGAAACGCGATTATTAGCCATGTACTGCTACCATTAGACATAAGCTCGTCAGCTCAACGAAACCCAGTCTGAACTGTAAATTGAGAGCACATTGGCGCTACAATATAAAAATGTAGTAATATAGTATATAGACACATTCATATTGACTGTTTTCAGTTAAAATTGACGTAAACATGGATATGTGAAAACGTTTAATATTTTTCACACGTTATGATTTTTTTATCTATACTAATATATACAGCTGAACACGCTAATCTCGGGATCTACTGGTTCGAAATGAAAAATTATTCGAGCATTAACCAAAGAAGGTTATGGGCGATAACACATCGTGAGCGATTAATTGGAGTGAAGAAACAGCAGGTAATGTGAAAAAAATGGGAAAATTATATTGTGGGTCTTTCCGTTGCCTACGCTTCGAAAACGGTTCAAGATACCCAAAAAATATCTATTGAAGGATGATTCCAATTTAAATGATATAAAAAAATGTCCCGACGCTAAGTTTCTATCTTTTAAGATTAACTTGCAAAAACGACAGGGGACGGAGGACGTCGTGGGCAACAGAATAAACTTTAAGAGTTGAACAGGAGGTTTGCAAAAACAAATTTGCTGTTAGTTTGAACATAAAATTCGTCAAAAGGCCGGGCATTTAAAACTTATTTTAGTCCAGGTTCTATTCTGCTGTTACTAAACTAGGATAGAGGCGTCTTGGTCATCAACTACTAGCGACAACGTCATGTGACACTTATGATCTTTGTTTTTTCGGTCGTGTTTAAGGTCGTCCATAAGTAATATTTATTTGCCGGCGGCAGTAGGTAGAGCTGTCTATAACTAACGTCTTCAAAATGACAAAGGTGCGGCGCGCTGACAACGCGTAGATAATCGTCTAATATAATGACATGTTTGAAGAAAACCATTTTCAGAGGTCTTTAAGGGGAAGCATTTTCTATCCGAACACAAAAGACCGAAAATAAAATTATATTTATTGATTTACTTTACATGGCAATCGCAATATATGTAAATGTATAATACTGATTATATTATACATTTACATAAAATAACATGTGAAAAACCGACTGCCTCTGTAGCGAAATGGTTAGACATATAGTCTAGCATTGCGTTAAGTGCATGAGGTCTTGGGTTCGAATCTCAGGGAGACAAAAATTTGTTTCGTTCGGGCAGGGCACAGAAGTCTGATCAACTACTTGTCTGTTAAAGAAACGGATTAGTGAAACGGATACAAGAATGTGTTCGCCCCAAGCCCCATAATTCTTTATTATGGGGCTTGGGGCGAACAAATGAAATTCTTATTTGAGATAGATAAATATGTTTTATACATTTGAGAATTTAAAAATATTTGAAATCTATTTTATTTTATAGAATAATATCTACGGCTTGATTTTGAACTATAGACGTTAAGAAAAATTAATTGGCGGCCATTTTGTGGACTAATCCAAAACATCCATTAACTGGGGAATATATATCATCGGCGATAAGATTATGTAACATTTTTGAAATTATTAGCCTCGATCATAGATCATTTGGCACCATTACAATACGGTAGATTCCAAGAATATTTATATTAATTTACTTATGGCTCGTCGTATTAATGTTTAGTAATAAGTGTACTTCAATAAACCGTACCTATATTTAATATGTAAGACATAGACAGTTATTTATTAATGTATGTAGCGGAAATGAAAACTTTACTCCTATTTTTAAGAAAATAAGGTGTATATTTGACTGACTAACTACTAACATTTTATACAAAAAACAGTGGTATTGTTTCCTT